AATCTCAACGGGGTGGAGGGAGTAACAGTTAATATAGACATGTAATAATTTTATTTAAAAATTACATAACAAATATTAATTATAAGAAAGATCATGAAAAGTAATTTCATTTTATATATTTTTAACATAAATCATATGATATATAAAAATGTTAATTATTATGATTTCTAGATTAAAATTAACAAAAAAATTATAGGTACCCCAAAATGTACCTCATTTTATACCCACCCCCTGAATTGCCTGTTTACACAGGCAATTCGTTTGAAAGAGGGCATGACTTTCTGTCCAAATGTCTGTGTACACAGACGTTGTATAGATTGTGGTACAAATTGGGGTACCCCAAGCAGGACTCTAAAATAAATAATAAGGCTCCAACCAGGGACGGATCCAAGGGGGGGGGGGCGGGGGGGGCGACCGCCCCCCTTGGACTTCCAAAATTTTCTACTATATATATAATATTTTCATAAAATTTTCATACTTTAATTAGGTATATATGTTTTCGCCCCCCTTAACTTTTAGTTTTCAAAATTAATATATAGGCTCACATAATGCAATGCTCAATTGGAGATTTAAATGAAGTAGAATATAAAATAATTTACATAACTTAAACAAATAAACAATAGAACTCATTGTTTAAGACTTAGGGTACCAAAAAATTCTTAGTTTTGTAATGTTTAATTACCTTTACTAGATAATTAGTACTCGATTTTGTAAGATATCAAAAGATATTGAATATCAGATACAATAGTTAAATAGTATAAATGTTTGTTGACATTAAATTACACATTTCATTTACCTTTTACTTTCTAAAAACAATTTGTTGAATAGATAATACTTTAACTTATTTTCACATTAATACAAATATAATATGCACCATATATATATGAATTAACATTACTACGTATCATATTATTCTAAGTATAATAATCTCATACATACTATTGTAATATTAAGAAAACTCATCATGACCCACAAATAACCTTCTTGGTAGACAAAAATCTCAATTCAAAAACCAATTCTTTATCCTGTTAAGATTCATGTGGTTAAACGTACAAGACATAAGTTACTTAAAAAGCATTGGTTGATGTGTACCTTTAACTTTAACCACTTTACCTTCAAATAATATCATAAAATGTTATGTTATACTACGTATAGGGAAAGTTCCCGAAATAGGACTAAAACAGTTTGAAAATTCCAAAATAGGACTGCCAAGTTTTTTATTCCCAGAATAGGAGTAATTACTGCCATGTTTGGAAAATATTGCCATGTTTGAAGTCTGGTACTTCCAAAACATGACAGTAATTAGTCCTATTTTTAGAATAAAAACATGGCAGTCCTATTTTGGAATTTTCAAACCTTTTTAGTCCTATTTTGGGTAATATCTCCTACGTATATCATATCCTTTCTTATCTTCAAATAATTTTTCTTTAATTTGTCATTTCTTAAGCTTTAATGTATCAATATTTTTTCTGGAGCACTTGTAGTTATTAAATCAAAGTTATATTTTCATTGTCTAAAATTAGAATTAGAATATAATAGATTTAATTGCCATCGTGTATGTAGTATGTACTAATGGAACTTTTTAAATAAAAATTAGCCACAGAGCCCTACACTAGCGAAAAAATTCGCCCTGCTACACTAGCGATTTTTTTCCCGTTCCGCTTACTAGCGAAAATTTTTCACTCCCTACACTAATGAAAAAATTTCGCCCCCCTTGACTCGAAATCCTAGATCCGTCCCTGGCTCCAACTAGTCCACGTGTTTTACATCTCCACATGTAATATGTAATACGTAGTAATTAATATACTCCGTATGAGGTATAAAATTGGTAAAGATAATTATAAGTCCTCTTTGAGTTAAAAATCAAAAGCCTACTCATGAAAAAGCCGTGGATTCGCCCACTCGGAACTGGGAGTTCCGACTAAGAAGCATTCTTTTGGAATTTTTTGATAAACCCTCATTTAGTGGGAAAGGTGACTTCCGAATACCGTAATTTTGGAAAACCTAAAATAAGTCCCGTTATTTGGCACTTCATACAAGGAATTCCCGTGTTTTAAGAAAAGACCCATGGAATCCCTTATATATTCCATTATGTAGGCGCAGGTTCAACTCTAATTTGTCAAGATAGGATATAATTTTTGTTTGATCTCCCGGATTTCCGGGTTTCACCCGCTCCGGGTCTGATCTAGGCAGACATAAGGGTCATCATCGGGTTTTAAAGGGTTATGCCATATTAGTGGTTTAGTAGGTACTAGGTAGCCGGACCGAATTAGATGTTGGGTCGCCTAATCTGGTTCGATTATTACAACATACTGGTAACATTTGCGTAACTCTAAATCATTGTCCCATTTTTTCATTTTTTGATGTCCCTTTATTATTGTCTCATATCATATTTGGTAACATTTGTGTAGCTCTAATTCATTCTTACTTTATTCTCATTTTATCAACTCATTATCAACCACATAATTTTTTTTTTTAAACCACACTACTTTCTTCCGTCCCAATATTAGAGGGAGGTCTTATCAAATAGACCACTCTCAATTGGAAATAGGGGGAATTTATTAAATACGTCGTATACTAGTATGTATTGCGGAGTATGTCATTGTATATGCATGTTAGTCTTTCAACATAGGGAATATAATGTTTGCTATAGATTAAAAAAACACTTATCAACGTTTAAAATAATAGAAAGGAGTATTTTCGAATGCGAACTTCTACTTAAATTAAGCACTTAAAAGTCAAAAATTGGAAGCTAGTATATGGGTGCTTTTAAATGCTTTTCGGTTTTTTTTTGTAAAATAATTTGTTGATAAATTAAGAAATTTGTGCTTTTTAGTCTCTAAAAATGTTAATATACATCCTAAAAAGTTTATATATATTTAAAAACTACTCCCTCCGTCCCATAATGGTTGTCCACTTTCAATTTGGCACGATTATTAATAAAGTGGTTGAAAAGTAATAGTTGTGGTTGAGATTTGAGTAGAATAAAGTGAATTAATAAAAACCACATATTTCATGCCAAAAAAGGAAACAAGACATTCATTTTGGGACAACCCAAAAAGGAAAGTAGGACAACCAAAAAGGGACGGAGGGAGTATGTTTCATTGTAGGAATATGAAACTAAATTATATAGAAATAGAATACTTATAGATCAAACGATATTTTAAGTTAAAATAAGAAAAAATAAGTTGAGTTGGGAAAAGTTTTATTCAGGAAATGACAAGCGTATCTAAGCCCCTTCAACGAGATCACCTTGCTCAAAAACAAATCCAAATACATAGGAAAGAAATCAAAAGGAAAAATTTAAAGTGCCACACGAATGATCGGCCGATGTCAAAACCTTACATATTAGAGAAGAGGGGGAAGCGACCGCTTATTAGATGAGATTTAAAGCATAAGTATGCAAAAGTTCCCAAAATAAGACTAAAAAGGTTTGAAAATTCCAAAACAGGACTGTCATGTTTTTTATTCCCAAAATAGGAGTAATTACTGTCAAGTTTGGAAAATACTGCCATGTTTGAAGTCTGGTACTGCCAAAACATGGCAGTAATTAGTCTTATTTTGGGAATAAAAACATGACAGTCCTATTTTTGAATTTTCGAACCTTTTTAGTCCTGTTTCGGGTAATATCTCCATAAGTATTGACTTTTAACCAATTAGTGGTATTAAAAATAAGAAGTTTTTTAAACTAAAATCGAATTTGATTTTGTTTTTATGTGATTTACTTAAATTGTGATATTTCTAATTTTAAAATAGAATAGGTTCATATAACTATGATATTTCTATAACTTTAGTGTTTATATTCTCGATCACATGTGTGTGTATGCACAATGGCGGAGCCAGAAGAACGGTTGATGAGCCAGAGAGTTTGACTCAACTATATATACAGAATGAAAATGGTGGGTCATTTTTAAACCATGTGTGAGTTGAATATTTCATATATAATTTAGATAATTAGGCACCCGTAATACGATAGATTCTTTGCTCTATCAATGAGTCGTGTCACGTAAGTAATAAATGAATTATACCCTATTTTTAAAATTTGGGAAAATAATCAATAATATACATCAAATTTTGCTAATTTTACGTTTAGATGGTTTTGATTTTTCAGAAGTTATAATTTTTACTCGTATTGAGTTACAGAAGTTTTTTTTTGTATGTAAAGATAATTTAAAGATATATAATACGAAGTATCATATTTGAGTTATATAATTATATTGTGAATTGTGATACCATACTGAAGCCATATATTCGAGCCAATGGAGCGACAAACTGACCACTAGTTAAGCCATAAATTGTGCACAAGCATTGTTCCATCGTGTATTCCAAAAACGTGCAGGCATTAACTAACTTCAACAGTTTCCCTCACAAATGGAGCCACCTTATCCACAAAAAACAATACCTTAACTACTTCGCATTATTAGTTCCTATTCAAAAGGAAACTACTACCATGTGACTCGGCATTTAAGTTTTAAACCATTATTATGTGATTCACTCACGTACATTTACTATGCGGAAATGTAAGATGTAAATAAATTATAAGTGGCGCATATTTATGAAGAAGTTAGCAAATGATTAATATTCTAATTGACCCGAAGAATATACGATAATATTCGGAAGTATCAGATCCCAAAATAAAGCTCCTTAACGTTTTGGAAAACAAACACTACACGTTTACTCAATATAGATTTACACTCATAGATAGAACTCATAGAAGGGTGAAATAATATTAATATCGACCTTATGTACATTGGACAAAATCATACCGGCCTATATATTGATGACCATTGTAAATTAAATATCATAATTTTACATTCCCAAAATATGTTACTACGTATAAGTTTACAAATGATCTTTCTGGATAGTGGGTTGCATTTCCTCCATCTATCCGAGTACTATCATTTAAAGTATTCATATTTATAGTAGGACATGAAAGATTTTAGTGAAGTTATGAAGGATACTTAGAATTTGACTTTTGTACAAAAATAAACTTGTGATGATTCACTTAATAGGCATATTAGTATAACAGTATGTTTAAAATGTGTAGCATTCCACAACCAGGTCGATCATAATAATACTAGTAATAATTACCATAAAATGAATTTATAACTTATTAAGTAATGAGGATTAAGTATCATTGTCCTAGAAACTAATGACAAAGAACTGCCACCGAAGTAAAAATACGGTAGTAACTAAAAGAAAAAACAATAGTAATACGATTTACGGTTTACTCTATTGGGTGAAAAACTAATAAGGACGTTCCCCGATATAGTTGCCCGGTGGGTAATAGTTGCAGGTGACAAACATCCAGCCGTTACGGCACACTTCCCTGGCGCAACCGATACTGGTGGTGTCCCGCCACACCACCTGCGTGTAATGCCCGCACTCCTCCCCGCCGGTGCAAGAATTCGACGCGTGGTCGTAGTACGGCCGCTCCCCCACCCACATGTTCACGGCGTCCGACGCCTTCAGCTCCCCGTACCCCTCCGCGATGTTCTCCCCGTACGGCCCCTCCGAGTGCTCCATCTCGCAGTCGCCCGCCCTCTGCGCGGCGTACGCCTCCGCGTACGCCGCAACCGACTCGTTCCACGAAACCGGGGGAACGCCCACGGACGCTCGTGCCCGGTTGTGCCCGTCAACGAACTGATTGATGACAGCGGACTTCTGTGAACCTATGGTCGATTTCGGTGACCCGGCGCGCCTCGGGGGTTTCGCCACGAAATATCCGGCGCCTTGGGGTGTCGGGGTTTCGGCCACATTATTACCATTGAGAAGAGTTTGGGATGCCGTTTCTCTAATGGTAATGGCTAAAGCAGTGATGATGATGGAGATGGGAACTATGAAGTGATGATTAGAAAACTCCATTTGGATCGATCTGATCTCTTGAGAGTGATGATTAGATGAATGTGATAGTGGAAATACTGCTTCAGTTAGATGTGAATAATGGAGCAAATGTATATATATACAGGTAGCGGCCATATAGTACGTAGAGGAGTGATGGAGCTGAGTGCGGCGTGGACTTGATCGCAGCCTCCCGATTCGCTTGGCATTTATATATATATCCAATTATCAATTGAAACAGTAAAAGTTGTTGCCTATATTCGTTCATTTATTCAAATATATCACATTATCACCCACTTTGTCGGGTGGTTTCTAATACTCCATAGATAAGATCGCTTGGTTCTTTTCTTTCATTATTGTGTTTGGAAAATTTTATGGTGCCTACGTAAAACCGTATGTACCCGTACAAACTCCACATGGCATTAGAGGATTGAATAAGAGTTCCATGTCATTCATGTAGAACTACTAAGTAACAATATTGCAATTTAATCCCTAGAGTATATACACGCACACAATTAATACGGAGTAACAATAACAAAAAACTTAAAGAGATTAAAAATGATTTCGCTCTGCTTTTTCTTGAAAAATCACTGAAAAAGAGATTAAAGGAGACCTGAGAAGAAAAAAAAAAGAAAAAAGTTGAAGAACGCATCTTCTTTTGATGGATCCACAGATGCAAAGTAAATAAATCCTATCGCCAAGTTTGTCATTTTCCTCTTATCTATAAGGTCTCTAATTAAGAAGAAAGTATGAAACCTTCAATATTTTCTGACAATGAAAAAGTGACGAATCATTTTGGAATTGGAGGCACAAAAACCAGGGGTATCATGAATTTGCACATAACGGAAGCTCAAATATTAAGTCAATTATTTTTCACATAAAAAAGCATCGGGAGAAGACGGAGCAGGTCGAGTTTTGGATGATGAAGTTTTGCAGGGGAGGATCTATGTACGGGCTATGGTAGGCTGAAGCCCAGAGCAACTTGGAATTTTTTTCAATTTTTTAGTGTAAATTTTTTCATTTTTCACATTTAGCCCACTTCTCTTTTATTTAAGCCTAGTATAATTCCTATTCAGCCCAGGGCAAGTCGAATTCCTGGATCCGCCCCTGAAGTTTTGGGTGGGATTGTGGATTCAATTTAGGAATTAGAGCTTTTTATTTGATTTGCGTATTATTTTGGCCGATTGGCCGGCAGAGGTATGAAATTAGAAATGAATTTTTCCTCCCGGTTTTAGTGCCCTGAAATATAGTAAAGTGTCAGTTTGGTCCCCGAAGTTGCATAAAAGGAGTCAAATAAGTCCTTATATAGGAGATTCTATCCGGCCGTCGCCATTTGGGGCGGTTCCCGATAGAATTTTTTGATGAAATTTTTTGAGCATCTTATTCATTAAGTCTATTTCACTCATACCAAATTTTAGATAAAAATTTAATCGGGAAGACATTCAAATGAATTCTTGAAGATAACTGTGCAGTTAAAAGCGCAGTTATCTTCACGAATTCATTTGAATGCCTTACCGATTGAATTTTTAGCTGAAATTTAGTATGAGTAAACTAGATTTAATGAATAAGATGCTCAAAAAAAATTATCAAAAAATTCCACAGGCAACCGCCTCAAATGGCACATCCGGACAAAATCTTCTATATAAGGACTTATTTGACACCTTTTATGCAACTTCGAGGACTAAACTGACCCTTACTCCCCCTGAAATAGTAATGATCCGCAACGCCGCGCACACCTTTTGGGCACCTCGCCATCATCTTTGAGAAAACTCCAGTGAATTACCGATGAATAAAACAAATTCTCCAGAATTTTAACCCACTATAAACTACATGAAAACTGGCTCCAAAAATCACAATCGTGGTGATTTCTATGTCCAAATTTAATAAATTCATGTAACTAAAGGACAAAGAGGATGAATTGACGAAGAATTTGAGTGCTAAGAAAAAGAGATCATGGAAAGGACGAACAGGATTTAACAGAAAAAGAGAAAAGTGAAAAAAATCTCTACAATCTTATAAAGGTGAATGAAGGTAAGGACATTTTGGGTATGAAAAATGTGTTGGTAGTAATCATAAGCTAATGCAAACTTGTACTTTGAACTAAAATTAGTGTACCTTAGTTTGTCAAACGTTTTAATACTTGACGGAACCATCAATTCCCGTTAGTTGGAATGGTCAAATGCTACTATCTATATACAAAGTATTTGCTCCCAACCTTTAAGAAGTTCTCGACCTTGTTCACAAATACTACGTATATCTTAGTTTTTTTATTTTTATGTTTTTTATTTTTTCTTTTTTTTGCTTTTTTGCTTTAACAAAAACTATGTATATTACGTAATAAGCTACGGAGTACAAGTATTACAGAGTATATGATCTATGAGTATGTATGTCTTTTTCCTTTTTTCTCAAGCAAAAAATAGAAATAGTAGAACCGTCAACACTACATTTTAATAAACTTAGACTTCGTTTGATAACACTTGAAAGTTGCATTGGGTTAATAAGCTGAGTATACAAAAATTGATGAAATGCTAACTGAAACGGCTGAATTATGTGAACATGTTGAATTATAGAAAAAAAATATTTAAAATATATTTTATTAATAGATTTGAGAAAAAAAATATAGAAAATAACTAAAATTATTGTTCTCTATAGTAATTTTAACCAATTCAGTCAGAAAAGTAACTTCAACCTTATTGATTTGATTATTTCACATATCAGTGCAAGATATAAAAAATTATCAAATGGGCTAGCTCTTAAACATTTTTGCAAAAGATCGGTGACCTAATTAGGAAAATCTGCCTTATTTGCTGCTACCTCCGTTCATCTAATATTGATACAAGAGGAAGTGATGTGTTTAGCAAGAAAAGTAAATTTATCGTTGTGATTATTGGTTTAATATTGAATTGATGAAATGAAAATAAAGTAAGAATGATTTTGAACCACACAAATATTATAAAGCAAGAAAAGTAAATTTATCAATGATATTGAATTGATGAAATAAGATAATCTTAGTTGGGAGGACCAGAAAGCAAAGATGAGACTTTCTTAGCTAGACAAGGGAGTGCTAAACAACTAATACTGAGTACTAAATTGTTACAAGTGTATTTATATTAGTAATGTAATTATTTTGAGCTTGTTTCTTAGTCTTTATCTTCAATTTATCAGACTTATCAAATATTCTGGTAACTTTTTATGAAACATGTTGTTTTTTATTTCACATGCTAAAGTATTGTCTACTGAATTTGCAAAAAAAAAATACTATTTTAACTATTTTTCGTAAAGCTGATGCTGCGCTTTTGTAAATCAACACTTATAGAAAAATACTTTTTTTTAAATTAGGAAAATAGGGTCTAGCCCTTATACACTTTGATTCTATTTATTTTATTTTTGAGTCCTCTTTCATGATGAAAATATTAAGTACTCTATTTTTAATAATTTCATACAAATGTTAATGTTTCAAATACTAAAAATAATCATATCAAATCAACATAAAATGTGCATATTTTCAAACGAAAAATCATTGGGCATTTTATTCATTCGCGCATCGCGTGAGCAGAAAACTAATATGATAATAAATGCTAAAAGGATTAACTTGCAAATACGGAAAGTTTTATTTAACGAAGGTGACGTTGCATCGTTAAATAACGTGTCATCTTCTTATTTGTCCACCTCTGATATGTACCAAAACATTCCACAAGACATATGCACCCAAGAGCTCCCCTTATTGTTTTAGTCCCCTACGGTATACTAAGGGGTGTTTGAATCTGATTCTTAAAAGTTAAAACTGTTTCTGTTCCTTGAAAGAGCAGAAGTTAAAATGTTTGGGTGAAAGTGCAAAAGTTAATCGGGTGCTCTAATTTACTTATAGAAGTTCGGGGGGCCAGCTTCTGAAAACTGATTCTGCTTCTGCTAAAAAAAGCCAGAAGTAGAATCAGTTCCAAACACCCCTAACCGAAGCTATGCTTGGATGAGGTGTCTTATTAATAATGAAAATGTTGGTAAATATTGGGATAGAGCAGAGTCTCAAAGGAGATGTATGTAGGTAGGTGTAGGATATGTAGTATGATAAGCGTTTTATTAACGTATTTTATATATTCATCTTAAAACGCTTTTATGTTTAAAAAGAATAAAATCTTCACACATATATATGCCTCGTTTTGCTAGAAGTTCTTTAAATCAACAAATGGATCAAATGCAAGGATGGTAGAATACACACGAAGAAACCGACGGAAAAAGGTCAACCAAACGCATCCCGAGGAACAAATAAAGACCACAAAAAGGCCCAAGACAGACGAAAGCCGCCCGGTTTATGCCAAAGGCGGCCGGCCTTTGGTCCCCAAGCTTATTTTCGCATCCAAAGCTGAAAAATCTGATCCGGAGCAAGAAAGGACGAAAGCCGCCCGGCTTTCGTGAACACCGGCCGACTTTTGGTCGCCGAAGGAATTGTTCAGAATTTAATTACAAAAGCCGCCCGGCTTTTGTAAATGGCGGCCGGCTTTCGACCCCTGGAGCGGAGGAGCAGCATTTTAAACGCGCAAAAGCCGCCCGGCTTTTGCGAAAGTCGCCTGCCTTTCGTCTGGAATTGATTAAAACAAGCAACGGTCATCACAATCATTCGAGAGAAGCTCCAAATCCAATTAAGGAGCTTGCTTCCTTGTCTAAAAATGGCCGTTGAAGACCCAATATTTAAGCATATGGAAGCCCTCTCAAGTATTTATTCCATATTCCATACACTTTACGCACTCTAGGTGTTTGATGCATGTTCTCAACCAAATTATTATGATCTTTCCTTTATATTTTAATGTGTATGACTACGGTGTACAACGTATGATTATATCGTTGGGTTTATTTGAGCAATTGACGTTGAGTTATAAACCGTGCACTTAAAGGCTAGACATATTCTAATTGTGGATAGAAATATACCTCAATTGAATATGGTGGTTGTAATAATGTCCTAATCCCCAATGGGGTTAATTTTAGATGAATGTGAACCGTGACGGGATTCACACGTAGAATTAATCACAATCTCGCTGCCGTAACAGGAGTTAGAATACTTTAGCGACATTCCACTCATAAGAATTGGTGAAAGAATATACATTAATCGCTAGGAGTCGTTTAGGAGTAATCCCGAACCCTTGGTTGCTTTTATTATCACTTGAAAAACCAAAAATCTTTACTC